TTCACACATTGGTGGAAATGGAGCCATCCACATTTGGGAAGTCCATCTATGGGCAGCACAGGTCTCCAGAGATACTACCTTGCTGCAGCTCTTGAATGGAACAGGATATGAGCAAAACATGGCACTGGGCCAAAGCAGGTCCTTCTGATGCTTTCTGCTGTGTGCACAGCAAGAAGACAGACTCATGTCCACTTGGGGAGCAGAGCACTATGGAAGGAACAGCAGCCAGTCCAAACAGCATGGGGCCCGTGGCCCCACAGTATAGGTGGTGACCAGTCCCAGGGCTGCTGGTGGCTTACCACAGAGGTCTATCCCCCAGGATGGCACAGTGGCACAGGGGTGTGACGCAGCTGGAATAGAATTGCTCTGAGAATAGAATTGCTCTATTTTGAGGAGCTGTTGCAGAGAGACATTTAGCAAATGGCAATTGAAGACCAGACCCCAAACAAACTCAGATAAATAAAATAGGAGTAGTAATAAGTACATGTTCCTGCTGGGGGGGGGAGGGGGGGGTGGGAATCAAACCTGAAGTCTTCCAATAAATACAAGCATCTGTATAAGCTTAGTTCTTCAATTTACTGAAAGGTTCATGTAGCATCTTATCATCCCAACTACAAACACTTGCATTCAGGGAAAACATAAGTGGCTCTCATTCTGAAAGTCCTCTGGCACTGCCAAGCATTATCTTTTTTTTATATTGTATCAAACTCTTATATTATGTCCTAAAAATGTGTCCTAGAGCTAGATGTTCTTCATTTATGCCAGCATTTCACTCAATAATAAAATAAATGGTAGAGGGGGAGCACATGAGGAGCAGAAAGTTTGTGGTCTACTTTTGTTAATGATACCTTGTTTTGTAATTATTAAAAGCATCACAGACCTTAGACAGCTGCTGACATACAGAAAATAATGTCCTTGAAACTGTTTGTTTCATCATATTTTAAGAATTAATACCTTAGGTCATGTTAATCAGTTTCTGATAGATGTAGTTTTCAAAATGCACTTCAGGGAAGAAAATGCTGGAAATGACTAATAACAACAAAGATATGAACTTTATTCATTGTATATCTGAATCCAAATGTGAACATTACCAAAGTACTTTGCCATCAGAAGTATTTAGGAAGCCTTAAATAAAAAATAAATCCATTTCATTCAGTGAAATAGAACATCCTCTTTTTCCAAGCAAAAGAGTTCAAATTTATTAATTTTGTAGCTATATTTTAAAATGAGTGTCAGCCCCTGCTAGATGACTACATGATAAGTGTCCTGAAACTTCAGGAAAAGGCACTAAATTTTTCACAGCATTTGTGTTTCATTTTCAGTGTAATAAAAATATGGTGCCCTTTTAATAATGAATAATAGATCTCCTGGTATGATTTACATGAGTGGATTAAATGTCATGTTTGAAAAGTTGCTGTTTTATTCATATTGAATTTCCCTCAAGTAAAACAAAATGGTGCCCAGCTACTGTTATAATATTGCTAGTACCTTGCCACACTGATACATAAATATTAACCAGTTGATATACTCTTCAAAAATCTTCAGTTCTGTGAACTGTGCTGTCAGCAATGATGTCTTTTCACGCATATGAACAGATTTAGTACTGTCCCAAGTTCCAGGCATATTGGGGAAAATGTGTAGCACCAGTGCTCACATGCTTCTGGACCTCACACTTTTTTTGCTAAAGTGCCAGTTTTGAAAGGCTCTCACAGAATAAGGACTGATGCCAAATGGGTGCAACTGGACCAGGATTAAAAAGCAGTTTGGGTTAGCCCAATACTGACAAAATTGTCCCTATTTCTGCTCAGCAATATTGGACTGACTTCCCAGGTGACTGTACAGCATAATGAATACTTTTTAAATGTCACTTGCAGGTAGTCTCATTGGCTTGTAGTGCTCTTCACAACAGCTGAAAATTTCCTGTCTGAACTTCCCATCCTGAATAAAAACTCACTTTCTAACAGGTAATATTTTTTCCTGAAAAGTGTTTGGGAAATATTTTTAATTTGTTGCAAAAAAGAGGAAATAAAAACATCTTCCTTAAGGGTTCCTTCCCTGTAGAAAAAGTTGGCAATGTACAACACAATATTTTGGTCCTGATAATTGAAATTATAGCTGAAACAATTTTTTTAAAAAGATGAGAAGCTTTTTTGCCACATTCTTTTATTCCATTGAAGCCAATGAATATTTTGACTCTGAAAAGTGTGGGGTTTATCTTATTGTTGTAATTGTTTCATAGAACAATTTAATATTTTTAATGTCTACTGAACTAACTAAGAAAAGCTGGCAAGATAAAACCCAAAATACTTTCTTTTTCTGTGTAAAATTAAACTTTTGCATACTGGAACTCATTTGTGCTATTCAAGTCATCATTAAGATGAAAAATGTAATCTGGACTTGCTAACACTTGAACATAATCCTACAGAATAAAACACTGCCTTAAAAACACTGGGAAAAAAAAGTGTTTACTGTCTACTTAGGTCTTATCTATAATAGGATCTTAGCCACCATGAAACAGAAATAAGGAAGTTATACCAGTAAAATTCTCCTTCTAGTGTAAAGATGATGCAGTCACGCAGACTTTACCTATCAAAGCCTAAAGTCCATTTGCATAAACTAAATATGTACAAATATCCTAGAAATAATGAGTCTAAAACTAAAGTTCCCTTCAGATCATGCCATTTGTAGCTATGCCTAAAATGGTAAACAGTCACTTGAAACAGCAATTGCATTTTATCACAATCCAAAGCATTCATACAGGTTTCATTCAGCATAATTTAAGAAAAAAAAAAATATTTCCTCGTTTGGTTGTCTGGCCTTACTGAAAGACAAATAAAATTCAACTGAAGCTATTAGGAGCCACTGTCTAGTAAGTAGTCAGAGGTTATTGGGGAGGTAGGTTGACAAACTAAAAGGGAGGACAATGAAGGAGCGGAAAGAAGGGAAACTGGCAAGCTGGAGCAAAGAACATTGATTAATGAACAGAAAACATTTTTGAAAGGTCGGGTGTGCAAGTCAGACTAGCCCTGAGGCAGATCTAACTTACATGACCAGCACTTTCTGTACGCAGCAGGTAACCCACGCTGACACCAACTTTGCGGACATGACAGGGTTATTATTTTTGGAAGGATGTAGTGTTCTGGAACAATTTCTCTAATATATTAGTTAAAATTGAGCTTTCCTTCAATATCAAGCATGCATGTCTTCATTTTCACCATGTTTACACTGAACTCCTATCATTATTCTAACCAATGAAAACAAAAGCATATTCTGCATTTGTGAGCACTTCTATTTCCCACCCCATAATATATCCCAGGGCAGTAGTGTTGTATATTAGGCTGTGTTCAAAACCAGATGCTCATGTGAAGCTCACCATTAAGACTTCACTACTTACCCTAAGATTTCTGGTAGATGTTAACCATCTGAAGCCTAAAATTTACCTCATCTCAGCACAGACCCCAAAGGTTTCTTCTGAAACATATCTTAAGGTTGTGCACCAATACCAAGGTGGAAGAGCAGAAAGGTAGAATCATACAGGGTACAATACATCCTATGTCTTCAAAATGAGCTAGTGGAGAAGGTTCGCTAAAATTACAACATTAACTTTTGTTGTCCATTATAGAGTAACGAAGACAGGGAATTATCAGGTCATTTAATCCAGCTTCTCCTGGTCCTGTATTTTAAGTGAACTTGCCCGAGACCTGCACACTGGTTCACTAGACTAAAAATGAAGTTTGGTGAAGAGGCTAATCAAATGCTCCCTGTGAGACCCAAGAGAACTTTAAAGCAAATTTACAAATGCAAAACAGTGGCAAAAACATAGGAGAAACATTCAGTCATACTGTCCAGTCTTCTCCTTCAAGACAATACTTCACCTCCAGGGAAAGTAACCTGGATGCACACATCCTGCCTAGGAAGGAATCACAGCTCAGTGATTTCTCTGACAGATGCATGTATTTATTTTAACATCATGTGAAAGTCACATTCACAGTTTCCCACTCTATATATGTGATTCACACCCATAGTTGTATTACAGACATTGTTCATTATCTAATACAGGTGATAAACAACTAAAAAGCAGAAAATGTGACTTAGTAGCACTTTATAAATCACAAACCCAGCATCTGAAACGACCTATCTACAAGTAACTGAAAGCATCAGTGGCGTAAATAAAAGTTGCTTTATCTCAAAGCTCTTTGGGATAAGGACTGCCTGTCTGTTCTGTACCTACACAGCACTTTGGACAACAGAAGGTATGGAGGAGGAAAACTACCATTGGGGTCATAGCAGAAAATAAACGATTGAAAGCAGAAAAGACTCGCCATTCTACCAATGCTTCATAACACACACAAAAAAAACCCCACCGCACTGAGAGAGATGAAGATTGTTTTTCAAACCGTAAAGAAGCTTTCATGTGCCAGAGAGTTTATCTGAGACCAGTGTTTCAACCAGCACTAGGCATTAGCTACAACAGTGAGCAACTGACACACAACAATCCTGCCATGCACAGCATGCTTAGGCAGGAAAATATGTGTGCCTCAGTCGCAAAAGACAGAATAGAGCCTCAAGTGTTTGGGCTCCTTCCAAAATAATCCAAATGCTGCTTTTTTGGCAAATGGGGGTCAATGGAGCTAAAAACTCACAAAAGGATTTGGGCATTCATGTGTTTATAAACACCCACTCGTTCATTTATTATTCTAAAGCTACTTTACAGAAATCAAATTACATAGCTGACAAGCTGCATAGATAAGAGAGAATAAAAGTAAAATTTAAAATTAGCTGACAACACTGTATGATGTAGCATATATTTGGCACTTTTAGAGTGAGTGATGAGGGTTAACCTTGGGGGAAAAAAATTGCACCTTCCTAAATTGCACCTTAAAATATTAAATAAATTATTAACATGATGGAATGCATTAAATATATAAGCCTAAAGGAGAAAGAGTGGATGTGTTTTAACTTTCAAAGCAAAGTGAGCATATTTATGAAGTGTTGCTTACTGTCTGGATACTTTGTCCAAAGTAGATTTCAGTGTTGTAGAAGTTTCCACCATGAGTAACAGGCTGTGTTGTTCTGGCCTGAGGCTCCTCCTTCAGTTCAGGCCTCTCCAGCAAGTCACCACCTAAGCGGCTGAGAACAGAAACTTTGAGAGTGTAGTGGCCTTTAGGGACCTTATCTTTGACTCCCCTCAGGCATTTGAAGTGAATTTCTATTGACTGAGGCTTCCTGGAGTAGTCAACCTAGGGAGAAGGCTCCGAGTTACTGACCTGGGCTGAGCTGACTTTAACCATACAATTAGCAAGAACAAATTTCTTCCAGAAAATAACCACTGAAAAACAGACAACAAGTTTCTTGTTCAACCTGCAATTACTTATTGCTAGCCAAGTATCTGCAATTAGGGAGGTCAAAAGTCATAGAGATGACAGATGAAAAAAGCAGTACAAATACTACTCATAAAATGTTGAGCATCCTTGGAGGACAGGTAGAGCCGGTGAAGTATGACACCAGAAGATAATAGTTGGCAATAATAAGGCAGAATTAACTGGAAGACAATACCTTCAAAAATATAGTGTGCTTTGCTAGACAGCACAATATTTGATGTGACGAGCAGGCTGCAGGCACAGAGTGAAAGACAGGGCAGGCCATGTTTTTATACTAATTATTAGCCTTGCCAAAGCTATTAGTGCTGTGCAAGATGCAGACTATCCTTTCACCTTCTGATTATCATATAATCAGATTCTCTTAAAAATAGTAATCAAAGCGCAACACGTGTTGAGTTTAATAACAGCTCCCTACAGGCACCTTTGCTCCAAGTCCAGACAAAAGGAAACATCTGCTGCTAGCTGTTGACAAGATGTTGTCTGAGTTACAGAATGTTTAGTATGAAATGAATGCTGTATACTAGAAAAGCTTTTCTGGTGCTTTCCTTGTGTGCTCAGCTTCTCAGTGTGGGGCTTGGCTGTGGGGGACAGACACAACGGTGCAATCCTTACACAACCTAATGGCGTAAGGTCTGTCCCACTACCTCAGAAGATACTTCAGCGCTGTCCAAATGTAGGGTCAGGCGCACAACAGGGAATCCCAGTTAGGCTCCAGCGTTGACTTGAATGGATAAAATTGTTTCTACAATAACTATGTATTTAGTGCTTAAAATCAGCAGTGCAGCTCCTCTTTTCCCCAAGAAATCAATTTCTTCTGTTATTTGGAGAAAAGGCTAGTGACAGGTCTTCTTCTTTTATTGCAATTGGATACAAGAACCCACACTTCAGAATCACATGGCTACCTTAACTACTAGGTTTAGTGGTCTCACAGTTTAAGCCTACAGTAGCTAATAATCTCTTCTTTAATCCTGTCTTGGGTTTATTTTGGAAGAGATAGCATATTTCCATATAGATAGAAAGCTTCTGGAATTAAATTAAGCAGTTAAATAAACAGCTGAATTTGTTAAACTTCTTTTGTTTCTCAACACAAACCATACTTAACAACTAATCTGAATGACAATTATTTTCAGCTTAATTAGAAAATCTTAATTAACAATGAAGATTTAACCTTAATATTTTTGATTTCTGAATCATATATAAAAAAAATTAACATTATGTGAATAAATAAGACAATCTTTTTAAACCTCAAGGCAGGATTACTGATGCAGGCAGCCTTCGTTATTAAACACATTCTAAATTAAACGCCTCTATGAATTTTATACTGAAATATATTGTGATAGTTTTGCATGCCAAATGTGACATTTTGTATTTTAGATTCATCTTCTGTAGTAATTTTGGAAATGTCATACAAACAAAGATTTTGTCATTTACCAATGGAATTACTATGCATGGCCGGTTAGCCATCTCTTTTCTGGCTCTTCTGGTTGTTTCAAGTCAGCAAGCCATAAAAAATCTTTATCTCTCTGAAACACAGCAATTTGGAAGATAATCGAATAGTGACTGGGGGGCAGAAACGCCAGTCTGAGGAATTATACCACAATCTCTCTTGCATTTACAACCTTCCTCAAAGCGAGTGTCAGTCGAGTAGGAAAAGGAGATAGAAGATTCATCATATTTCAAGCCTGTCTCATTTGCATGGTGGCATAGCTGTCTCATCTCCTGCTGAAAGACTTTGCTTGGCCAGCGCTGACAAACTGTTTTGAAGAACTCTTGCCATGCCCAAATGATTCATCATTAATAGCTTTAGACATTCTCTTTAAGCATATGGTTACTTTTGCTGGAAAGCATATTTTGAAACCTGCTAAATTCTATCCTCTTAAACTATGAAAAGAGAAAGAAAGAAAGAAAGAGAAAAAAAAGAGAAAAAGAAAAAAGCATTGCAGTTGATCCAAGTCATTTTACAGTTCACATCAGAGAAAAAAGCACTCATGGAGAACCTCACCTTCTTGCAAGGTCCTGCTGCTGCTCCATTTAATCCAGTATTCACACTTGCAAGGTTACCAAAGCTGGCTACCATTTCTTCTTCACCTCCGTTCTCTTCTGTTTTCAGTGGCTGATTTCCCAGTCTGCAGAAGTTAGAATGGGAAGAAGAACAGAAAAGAAATGAACTACAGGGCATATACAGAAAGCACTTGTTGGAAATACATCAGTTTGATGTTTTCCTTGAACATATCCTAAGACTTGCAGGGCACCCAGGAGAAACAACAGTGTGCTAAAGCAGAGAAATGGCTAGGCTTCAAAAAGCAGCATAAAAAAATAACAAGACCAATATCTGTCAGTCTGTTCCATGGGTTGACATAAGGAACCTGAAGTTTCAATGCCTGTCTATAATCAGATCTGTTTGGCATTGGGGTTCAGAATCTAGGTTGAGAATAAAGTAGGAAGCCATTGCCTCTGCCGACACTTTGAGGACTGATTGACAACTTCAATAAACTTGGACAGGTTTTTGGAAACCATTGATACCTTGGGGTATCAAGATTGCTTTAATCACAGGAAAAAAAATAATTATGTATACAAAATCTTACTTTTTTTGTTTGTTTGTCCTACCCAAAAAACCTTATAAATTTATATATAATCTTATATAATTTAGAAATTTTCAAAAATATTGTATTTTATAGCTAAAAAATTAAATATATAAATTATTTGTCTCATATATATATGCATACATGCACATACACAAATTTTCAGCCATACGTGAACCACAAAACCTTCCTTGTCATTCATATGTTAACTTCTTGTGTACTTAAAGTGTTTTGGGGGTAATTATATCAACTCAAAGTTGTTGGGTTTTTTTGTGGTTTTTTTCAAGAGAGGTCAGTGTAGCAACACAGAAGGCAGCAAATAGTGCAAGAATAGCCCTGCACTTCCAATGCTGCCCTGCTTAGTGCACAGGATACACAAAAGGCACAGTACCCTATGGAGAAAATGATTTTTCCAGCACACAGCAGGAGCAAATGCAAAACTAAGACATTTACAATAAGCACTGTAAAAATGTATGGTTTGGCAATCCCATCCCACCCATCAACAGACACAGAACCATGAGTAATTCCTCTGTCCCTACAGGGCATCAGTATCTAAATCTTATTGACCCTAAGTAAAAACATCTCTAGATGTCCTGCTGGCTTCAAAACACATCAGCTCTTGCTTCCACAACGTGTTTTAAGAGGCCAGAGAGGGTCAGTTGGTCACACCAGTGCTGGTAATGCTCCAGCCACACTTGCAAGTGGAGGTTGGGCAGGCACAGAGAAGGACATGGTGGCTCTCAGAAGCTGGAGGTTGAGTAGGCTGTTCATGGCTGAGGGCCAGCCATGTGCCATGCTGCAGGTCAAGGGAGCTGCCTGCAGCATACTGAGAGGGGTCAGATAGAGCCAAGGAGAAATCACTGCATCAGGTAAGGTTGCAATGCAGGATTAGCTTGGGTATATACAACACAGGCATCAGAAAATAGGCTCTCTTAATTTGCCAAGCAATGTACTGAGTGAAGTTTTTAGTCACAAAAGAAAATGCTATAACTTGGTGCTCAGGTAAAAAAAAAAAAAATCGAGACTCAAAACCAACTTTTCCCTGGACTGCGCTTCTGAAGCATTCCTCAAGCACTCCTTTTTCATTCCCATTTTCCTCCTTTGCATGCTAGGTGATGATCTGAGAAGACTCTGCATTTTTAAAAATTAACATAGTTCTTATCAAGGAAATTACAGAGCCTTACTATGCAATCATAGTAAGCATCCTAGAGTCATGCATGTGCTAGTTAGGTAACACATTCCCCTCTTCAGAAACAGATACTCCTGTCTCCAAGATCCTGGCACATTGCTACAAATCAGTTTCTATTCTACTCAGACCTTGCCTATATATATTTTTATTTTGTTGTTTAAATTTTGCCCAAGCCAGGACCGATGAGAAATAAGGACAATATTCCAGTGCTAAGGACTGAATACAAGAAGCACAAGGCCAACCACCTCTGAACTTTTGTCCTTGAGCTTCTGTTAAGTCCACTTGTGTCTAGCTGTCCTAAATGGAAGTAACAGAAGGTGAATGAATGGCACTAGCTAATTCATAGACCTGAAACATCGGAGATGTTAAAGCATTCTTCTCAAGGAGAAAAGTTGTTTGGAACTTCGTACTTACTTAGTTTCTCATGATAGAAATAATTTCACTTAATTTGGTTAGAGTTGCATTGACACAGGGGTTCATTAGGACACCCATTTGCTTGCAATTCAATTTAAAATTAAATACACTTTGTTGTTGATTTTATTACTTTTAAACTACTGTATCTATTGCCTTTATTAGCTGCTAATATACAATTATGAAGGTAAACAGTTTTCATTACTGAACATCAAACATTTAAATAACCGCATTTGATCTCTTTTAAAGTTGCACCATTTTTCTCCTTTCCTTTCTTTGGCTGGGTATTAAATTGAAGAAAATAATTTATTCAGTGAAGTTAGACCCCTTTTGTGCTCACCAGCCTGCTCATCAGCTGTCACAGCAGAACATAGCTTCCTTTACTCTATTCATGAAGGTTATTTATTTCCTCCATTCATTTCTTTACAAGTAATTTGATGCATGTATTTATCGGAAGGTCATATACAGCTTGGTCGCAAAAACTTTCCTCCAATTCCTATTTCTCTCACTCTCTGAAGGGTAATTCAATGGCAAAGATGAAAAATGCTGGGAAAAGACATTTGGTCACCTTTTGAAGTGCACTGTATGTAGCACTTAAAAATTACAGCCCAAGATGAGTATCCAAAAATGGAGGTAACCCAAAACAGAGACCTCTTTCAAATGTACAGGCTTAATTTTTCTATGCCTGAGGTCTTTTGTTTGGGAGAAGATCTTTTCATTAATATCTGTGAAGCACTGAAAGATCTTTAGAAGGAAAGCACATTAGACAGAAGTATAAAGTGGCTCTTATCTGATGTACCTTTGAAGGAATTCATGAATCCTGGCTCTCCACTTTTGTTTCTTGTGGTGAGAAACTTCCTTGTGGTGCTTTAAGTCCCATATGCCAAGAAGAAAAATTAAAAACAAACAAACAAACAAACAAACAAACATAATTTGTTTCCAAATGTACAGAAAAAACATGGAAATAAAAGCCATAAATGTGAAATTTTTCAAAGCTTTGACTCAGGTCTTCTGTTTGTAGGTTTTCAGAAGCAATGAGGAATTCTAGCCACTTTTACTTTATTTCATTATTTTTTCCATAACTTTTTTCCATATTTACTGCATTATTTTCAAGAGATACTGAGCTCTCACCTTGTTATAAAAGCTTTTCTCATATAATATATATTTGTACATGGTAGTGTTCTACAGTCCTTATGTTTGCAACACCTAATCACATAGTCATACATAAGCATACATACATTTATGCATGTGCAAGTGTGTCTGTACAGGCACACCAAAATACAACACACAAAGCAGCTTTAGGTATAGACCAGAGAGCCCTCAACTTGCCTGGTTTTAAATTCACTCAAAAATCTGGATGCCTTGTCTCACCAACTTTGTTTTTAAATGCTTGGTAAGAAGGACTGACATTTTTGGAGGTTGCAATCTGTAGGAGGCTAACTCACGTAAGTAGTCCACTGTCTCAACAGTTCTGAGATCTCTAGCTTGAAGCTGAAGGGTCTGAAGTTATTTTACCCTTGCACATCAAGCTCAAAAAGTCATTCCATTGAGAATCCACACCTTTTAAACTGTGTTCCCTGTGCAAGAATTCAAAACAATAACCATACAGAGGGCTGCACACTCATGAAAACAAAATTCTTCTCCCTGATCTGCAGTGTTTGGAGATCTTGCTGGTTATTCAAGAACATTTCTCATGTCTGAATTCTTCTGCTGATGTCCCTGAGACCGACACAAAACATAAATACGAACTACCAATACATAAGAAGGTTTCCTATCATATACACTATACAGTCATTTAAACAGTGTAAAATTATGCTCCACTTCCACTCTCATCATGCCTCAAAGGCAAAAAATCATTTTGGTAGGGAAACAGTGTAATAGTCGATGGAGAATAATTCCCCTTTGGAGACTCCATATCTGGCTGTTAAAGTCTCTCCCTTCTTCCAAACCTCTAAAGTTTTTACAAATTTCTGGCTGTTTTAAGAAAACTTGGGAATCTCTACTGAAGACTAAGGCAAAGCATCCTACTTATTTCCAAAATTAAAATTGTCAGAGTGTAAAGACAGACAAAACCAACAAAACCTGTGTATGTAGCTTTTAAAGTAACCCTTTTAATTCACCCCTGTAAAATTAAAGCAGAAACATCATGGTTGCCTTAAACAACAGTGGGATTTGTTGGTAGTCCCAGCAGAGATCCTCAGAGATGAATGCAATAAATCCTCCAGGTCAGGCATCACACATACATGATTACAAAGGTGATGTGACCAAACTAGCTCAAAGCAAGACCTTCCAGCTCTCCACATGGCAGCTGTGTCATGGGCAATACTTCCTTCACCGCTGCTCCTCTGCTAGTGGGATTCAAGACCTCCAGCTCCTCTACAGCATTTGGCTGAAATTCATTAAAAGTCTCTGGATCAGGAAGCAGGACCCATTCTTCTCCCATCTCCACAAATGCTGGCACTGATTTTCTTTCCCCAGTCCTAGTAAATCATCTCCTACACCACTTTCCCAGGAAGGACTGGGAGTTGGCTCTACTCTGGATTTCTGCTCCAGTAGTAGCTGGTAGCTGTCTGGTTAGAGCCATCAGACCCACCTTGTGACACGTCCTACAGTCCAGTGGGGGCTGCAGTCACCAGAAAACATGTCAAGAGCAAGGGCATGTTATTCCTATGCTCTCTCAGGTGTAGGGAATTCACCCTGGTGGCAGCAAAGACCGAGCAGCAAAGGCCACCACCCTCATCACTACTGCAAGACGTAGGCAGCAGGCTGCCATGGTTGGGACATTTGACCTGACACCCAGCAACAGAGCTCAAAATCTCTGAGAAAGTTTAATGACTGTTTAATGAAAGTTTAACTACTGATGGAAAGATTTCAGGTGTTTCCAAAGTTTGCTGGTAGATGGAAAGGGGTTTCAAGTTTGGGGCTGAGGCAGTTGAAGCTAAATTTTAGAAAGTGGGAGGAGAGTTTGGTTCACATTTTTTCTCGTGGATGCAACTCTTGGTGATGCCTGGGAAAGCAATTTTTAAGGTAGCCACTTATATCAAGAAATAAGATGAAATAAAAAATTTGCTTCATGTAAAATATCAAGTAGACATAATATTGCAACCTCATTCAGACATTACCAGTTCAGGCTTACACTGAGCCAGTAGTAGAGAAGTTTTTTTTTAAAGAAAAATTGATTTTGTTACCAGACTCCCACAGATGTCCAATCCCCTTGTTTATCTTCCTAATCTTAATTAAATAATGAATATTCAAAAGAAAATATGAATCTGTATTAATTGAACTGTTTTCCATCTCTACCTCTGAAGTGGCAATGGGAGTATGATTTAAAACTATTTCTTCTGGATCCTAGTAAAATATTTGTCACAGTGTGTCATGATAATTTTTAAAAAGCTCTATCATCTACCTAATAAATTTGTTAAGTTTATTCAAATCTTATTGAACAGGAAAAGTGCAATGAGTCATGGTTAATATTTCTTTACCTATACTAAGAAAAAAAATATAAGAAATTCAGTGCTTAGGGTTCTATTCAGAAAACCTCTATGAGTCTGTAATACATCTTCTACATGATTAAAAAAACAGGAAACTTGCTTTTAAATGAATTATTCACCACCTTGAATAAATTTCCATCTTTCCTATTTGCAAAACCCCAAGTCAGTTATGTAAATTTTAACCTACACTAATTACCTCAGGGGTGTGCAAGCTAAAGGAAAGTAGATGCAGTAGGAAAAAAAAAAATCCCAGACATTTCCATCACCAGAAAGCAATTTAATAGAGGAAAAAAAGTGTAAGTTTTCAAAAACAGAGCAGCCCATATAATTTTTTTTTTAATGTGTAATAATCATTGCTGCAATATCCCTTGAATAAGAGATTTACTGGAATAAACCAAGTGCTTTTTCTCAATGGCATATACCATCGCACACATGGAGGAGCGCTTGTTTCTCATCATGACACCAGCATTGTCTAGACTGTAACAACAACCCATTGTTGACAATGGGCGTTCCCAACAAGAAGGCATGAAATGTGGTTTAGCTTCAAGTCTGTATAGACACTGAGGGCCCCTTCAGAAAATAAGTGGCTAAAATCTGCAAACCACTGGATATCCTTCAGAGCTCATCTGGGAGGTACTGGAAAAAGCAAGGCGTTGTTTGAAGGCAGAAGGGCTCAATCACAGCACCAATTTGTCCTGTTCTCCATCCTGATTTCAGCTGCTGCTTTCGCTGTGAGCCAGCTTCTTCACACATCTTTCTCGGTTTCTTCATCTACTGTCTTGAGGACTAATTACACAAATGTCCTATCTACTGATTTCAAAGAGCATGATCAAGACCAGTACTTGAAAAAGGTCTTTCAATCTGGGCTCAGCCTAGACACACAGCGGTGTGTATGGTTTCTACAGAGGCAAGAACCTGACTGAATACCATTAATCAGTGCTGACTTGCTATTTTCAGTGTGAAACTACTTCACAAATGGTAGGACTTGGTTGCAGAGTACTTTTCAATTTGGAAAAAAAAAAATTAAACAAAACTCCGCCCAAACACATGCTTTCCTCTTAAAAGAAAGGCCACAAAATTCATCAAAGCTTTGAAACAAAATCTAATTGGTTTTCTATTATTTAGCAAAAGTGGAGTATTTAGGGAAAACATCTACACACACATGCACGCACCCCTTTTTTGTCAGTCCTGGCACCGGTATTACAACCCTCTGGTGAGGTACTTGCCCCATTGCAATTTGAAATAACCAGTGGAGCACTGGCCCTGACGAAATCACAAGGAGTGCTGCGGGGGTCCACCTCCCCACAAGTCCTTCTCACCAGGTCAGGGTACAGCAGAGGCAACACAGAGACACCACCAGTAGTCTCCCACTGCCCACAGGGATCTCACATACGGAGGATCCTGGTGCTTCCCTTTCATTCCACTCCTTGAGATACCACACTGGTACATCACAGTGAAGGTAGTGCTGTCTTTTTAGCTGTAAAAAGATACCCAGATAAAAGTTTTTACCTAGAATTTCCATCTCTTCATTCTAAAACATTTTTCAGTGATGGAAATCCTGTTCACTCAATTTTTACAGATATCATAAGCACGAGCTTACCAAGCAAAGGGTCAACAGAACTAGAAACAAAACCCACGTCTCTAGTCCCACTGGTGCCACCTAGTTCTCCTCCTTCACAGTCTGGCTGCTGCATGGAAATTCACTCCCAGTGACTTCAATATCTAATGCACCATATATCCCAAAATAAATAAAAAGGAAGAACCATTTGAGATGAGGATAAAAAATATTGCAAGAAAAGTTAATGTGCTTTTCAAGTAGAGTGAAATTTTGAGAGCCTTATCCTCTTCATGTTAACTACAGGGAGACCATAGGGAAGGAGGGGCATTGAGTGGTAAGCGGAATGAGTGCCCTTCATTGAAAGCAAAGACTCCAATAGCTGGATAAGCCTGCTTTGAAAACTGCACTGTTGGAATTTGTGTGATCTTATCATGGAGATGGTCACAAACCCAAAGTTAAATTGTGCCAAACCCTGGACACATGATAGTATTATTGATGTGCACTCTGCCAACATATGTGCCACAAACTTTCAGACATGTTCTTTAAAGAGAAGGAAAAAGGAACAAAGCAAATCCCCCTATGACTTTTGTTCCAAATAGAAAATTAATTTACTATTCATAAGAACAAAATTAAAAACTTCGACAATCGAGCATTTCATAACAGAACTCAAACCCACTTTTAAATTTGATACTGCAGAACACAAAGTGAGATTTACTTTAGTCATGCTACAGCCTTATTACACTGAGTAATACAGATAGATTTAGTGACAACATTATAGGCTGATCATTTTGATAAATTTGTAAAGCATTGCACTAACA